TATTATATATATATATATATATATATATATATATATATGTCGGCCTCAGAATTAGACGAAATTTATACAGTAGCGTTCTTTCCGTTCCAGAGTACTAATGTGCTGACATTATTTATATTGCAGTGCCCGTGATTTAATCTCAAAAAGTACTATGACTTACGACCAACAGCGTATTACTTTACGTTTTCGGGTGATAAGTTTTATTCTGAAAGCATATGTACATAATCCAAACTGTGCTGTGGTGGGTGGGCACTGGTACGCCTGGAAGTGGTAGACAACGATAGATGAAGTGGCTCATCTGGTTTCACATTCACAGTACACATTGGGTGAGCCCCGGTATGTTCAACAAATATGGGGGTTGGTCCGGACTGATCCTGTGGGGTTCGTGGGTGTAGGTGCATTGCTATAGGCTCCAATGTACACCGTCGATCACGAGTGCAATGGTCTCTCGATAGAGGTCATCATAAACAGACCCCCTCAGATGGCTAACGCGTTATTTCAAATACAAGTGACCGATATCGATGCGCCCGTGCATGTTGTGGACACCAAGAGACGTGAAAACTACGAAAATGCCTCGGCTGCAGCCACTGTTTGAGTATATCGTATCGAACTACGCCGGCGGCAGGATAACGGCACACACGGCGCTGGACGATGCCAACATGACTGACCAATGCGGTCGATCAGATTGCCGTCACGCGTCACAGTCAATGGCGGCGGTAGCGACGACGACGAAGGGCTCGCACGTGAAAGCAAACACAAGCACAAGTTCAGCTTACGAAGTCACCTGAAGTGCAAGATGCAAGAACTTCTGGCCAGGAAAAGGCCAAGGATAAGGATGATCGCAACAGACGACGTATCAACCCGGACGATGTCTCCGACGTAGACTGGAAAGGTATGTTGCAATGACAAAGAGCAGGTATGCGTGTTTAGCACGTACCCGTTGTACTATATGGACTACGCAGTGCGTAGATGGTCCCGTATTATATAATACGTGCATGTTTTTCCAAACTAGTCAGCGTTTTTCAAACTAGTCAGCGCAGTATTTGTATATATACTTTATTACTGTGGGCAACATAAGAGGGCCTTGGTCACAGAGACGAATGGCACATACGTCTGATGACCCTCCGCAAAGACACGCCCAGGGCTGTGGAATTGGGCCAAACCCATCGACAGATGGGTGCGGGTGGTTGCTTTTATCGGTTACTCCGTTGGCATGATCTTAGTGTTCTCGCTAGCATACGTGGTATCTCAACAGTATCATTCTCGCCGAGACTACGATAAAAGCCATTGTACAGTGCATGCTACGATATCAGCTTCATTCTGCCGTAAGGTCTTTAGATTTTTTTTCTTTGTTTCCACTATTGCTTCAGTAGCGGATTAGTTTGATACAGAGCTGTAGTAGTATACGACAGGTGCAGGCTTATGGATCTACATATATTGCTCCATGCGCTTGGTACACGCCTGTTATATGTCTGCTGTGCATGCTATCTAAAAGTCAAGTATATCATCAAGTCTTGCGTACAAACTGTTAATGCCAGCTATAAATACGTCAGTCGGATCCAATAACGTAGTTGTATATCTGGTCACCCCTTCTCCTATAGGAGACCCAGGGGTTGACAATGTTATGTGTATGGAGCATCTGAGCCAAAAACAAGAGTAGCCCAAAACATGGATGATGGCAACACAGGTTCGTATTTTAAAAAGAGTTTACTGTCAAATCGCTTTGCTATCATATCGTAATATTTATTTTCTACGTTTGGACGGCGATATCTGAGTCTTGTTCGTATATCCGGTGCTGTGGACTCTCACTCCATCCAAAGATATATGAAATACGCGTTCAATCCCAGCACATAAAACCCAATCATGATAGAGTAGATAGTAGCCTCGCAGAAATACGTAGGAACGCGGCCACCCTTAGACTCCATGTTCGACCTGAGGTACAACCTTCGCTGATGAAATATTACTGTCTGTATAAATAAGTAGAGGGAAAATGAATTTATCACCACCCCAATAATAACTACAGACCGCGTAAAACATGACACTGTGCAGTAAATTGTAAGTTTGAGGAGGGAATATAGTCCAAAATAATAAACAGATGCGGATCAAAAGTGCTTTTCAACTGCCACATACAATACAAGTTATCCGTACTCACCGAATATATGGAGACCAGATCTGTAAATATAAGACACCACATTGAGACCGCCAGCATATCGTGAGAGCTGCGGAGTCCTATCTCTGCAAAGCCCACAGCGAATGTGGCCAGTGTTGTGGTCCAAGTAACAAATTTCATGTGCGTTCGTTCATTCGCCATGAACGCCTTTGTTTCCGTTTTCCCGTACTTTACCCTGTTGAACCCGTGGGCCCGAGCGCGGGTGAACGGGTTCAGGCTCCTGGTGGGGAAATCGCTGGATGCCATGTCTATGCTGAAGTCTTGACTCAATTCCACCGAGTTTGCATTTACCTTCCGTACGTTTTGTTCTGCGTTTGCATTTGGTTGCCTTGGCATACCACAAGACGAATTGATAAAAGCCTCCAGCTCAGGCCAGTACTTCGGAGTGGGCGACGCGTGTTCGGGGATGAGCAGTTTGCAGCCATATCCATACTTTGATATTTTAATATTTTGTGCCATCGCCGACTGAATGGTAAAAGAAGACAAGAAGACATTTAAAAGGAATAAACGCTCCTCGAACGGAACGCAAACGGCAATTTCATAATAGCTTCACGCTAGACGACACATACCTCGAGAACTTTAGCGATCCACTTGGGACATTCGGGAGTCCCACCAGGAACCATAGCGACCTGCATCACGAAAAGTGACAAACGTTTTAGAGGTTTAGAGATCGAATCTAGGCTTGCATTCCAATACTACAGACGTGTACAATATGGAAGGCACATATTAACAGAAGTTCAAGAAGCTTTAGATCAAGGTATGCAAATACAACCAAAAGCCTGGGTGCACGAATCATCATCCGCATAGAATACCTTCACCTCGATGATACTAAATGGCATAGTGACTTGTGGTCCCAACAGAGCGCCGTTACTTGCCAGTATAGCACGCCAACCTTCTCGAGGTTCAAGCGCCAGCACGATATTCTGATCGAGAGTAACGCGCAGATCACTACCCTCAGTGTGGTCCATAAATGAGGTTCTTGCATACTGAGTGCGGATACGAGGTCGTAAATAGAGTAAATGCTCTTGCATGTCACTTGCCAGCTTTGCTTTATCAACAAGCAGTTCGTCTACATCGGCGCCGAGCAGATATCGGGTGGTTTGTTCTTTCGGCAAAGTCATTCGTTTCTTGTTCGAGTAAATCCCTACTTCCTTGAAGCAATGATGCCTTTTTCGCTCAACGAAGACGTCACGTACCGCACACAAGTCCTCCCCGTACCATCGGATCCTATATTTCAAAATAGTTTCGCACACGCAGATGATTAGCTCTCAAACAACCATTTTTATAAATATACTTTGTATTCGGTTAAGCTATAATTATCGTTATGGAGAATAAGACCTGCGATTTTCGTGCTGGCTTGGTTTGTACATGATACAATGGGAGAGAAGCAAATAGCGACCTTTGCATGGACGAATGGTCAAGAAAATGTTCAGTTGCTTACCTGTAGAGTTCGGCACTTTCGTTTTTCACGATCCTTTCCTTGAGATGTGTGAGACTCTCATCGTCAAAATACGTACTGCTATTGACCTGCGACATAACATGACAGTCCGGTGCCAGCCTAAAAGGCGAAATTGGCAGACGCTCGCTCAATCCAGCCACTACCTGATCAACTAGCTCATTTGGGACCACATACTTTATGCTTTTGCGAACAAACACTTCGTCACCGCCTACCTTGGAGTCCTTTTCAATGTTGATAATATGCTCCTTTAGAAACATCGCGTGAACGAACAAGCGAGAGTGTAGAAATTGTGTTATGCTCCTGCAGACAGAGAACTCTTTATATCTTCCGATAGTGATGTGGTGTTGGGAGATCAAACAGCTGCTAGTGAACAACCGAAGAGCTGTAGATAGTAATCCATTTCCAGTTGAAGACGAGGTATGAACAACCGAACAGCTGTAGATAGTAATTCATTTCCGGTTGAAGACGAGGTATGAACAACCGAACAGCTGTAGATAGTAATTCATTTCCAGTTGAGGACGAGGTAAGGTATGTTGTGACATGTTGTGCAAGCAATCAACGCAAAGCACCTGCGCTTTCACTCATAAGCTATCCGCAAAAACCACAATATTTTTCAAAACGCAGATAAATCTGCTGCTTCGTTTATGGCCAACATAGTGTAGAATGGTATGAAATACCAATCACATTCGAAGTACGGGGTCCGATACTGTATTCCTGGCACCTAATCAGCTGCATGTTGTCAATTAATGTCTTCAAATATAATTTTTACAACAAATAATAGAAAATTATACACAAGAATTTTTTTGTTTTTAAAAAGGCGAAAGAAAGCCGTGATGTTACGTCGGTTATGAGTTATGACTCCATGACGTGCGTTGAAACTGATACAGAGTTTCCATAGTATTAATGTTTTACTCCAGGTTAGTGTCTTAAAGTGTGAGCATTGCCACAAGCCACTTATTTCATCCGTAGTGTTTGTTCCAGAGTTGATCACTTCTAAACAAATTCGTTCACACACAAGCTCACGAACTATGAAAGGGAAAGATATCGTAAGGCCTATCGGCAGTGATGATTTCATTCATATTCATGATATTGCCGATGATCAAGATAGTTTTGAAGATCTGCATACTCTAACATCAAATTCGAATATTGCTGAATACTGCGATGCGTACTATATACATGAGATCACAGCCCGTAACACATACATAAGCACATTCTTCTGGTCTCAGTTGAAGATTAGTACCCTACTGGGCGTGGGTGCATTTGGAGTAAGTTTTCTTTATATCACAAACATTCATGCACTTCATAAACGTATAGCTATTAGAAGCTGCGGCAAGCGTATATATGTCATCTTTTATTCCCATCTGTATGAACGGGGGTAATTCATTTTCTATGCGCGTCTGTAGTCGAGCTGCACCGTGATTGATATTCTCATTTAAATCCACTACTTCCCCAATCATGTGCCAGAATGTACGCAAAGGAGAGAATGCCTTGCCTGGAGTTCCTAAAGATGTAGTGGTGAAAGAACTCTGCAGTGCTAAGATCCTCAAGGGCAAAGCTGATAGATTCCTACTGGATATCGTAAGTGAACCATCGTTCGTCCAAGATTTAGATCGACATAATACAGAGCGCTCTTGCGACCAATTTAGAATTTTGCTAAAATTCTATTTGGCATATATTTCACTACAGGAGAGAAGTGCCGGCTATATCCATCCGAATGTAGCTCACGTGTATGGCGCCACGTTTTACGGACCTCTAGCACTTGTGATGGAGTACTTTCCACTCGGCGATCTGAAGAGTTATATGAAAAATAGGTGAGATAACGATGTGTGGATATCCTAACATATGAACAAGTAATACTTCATACCTGTTATATTAATTCTAAACATGTCAAAACTCAAGTTCAACTGATTGCCTAAAAGCATCTGAATGCTCGTACTTCAACAGATTGCCCAATGGAGGGGGTTGTACGATTCAGGAGAAGCACTCCTTCGCTTTCCAAATTGCGAACGGAATGAATTATCTTCATAAGGCTGAATGCATTCACAGAAATTTGAGCTGTGCGAATGTGATGGTAAGTTTGATATAATTAAGGATTATAGTTTTTAAACTTTTCTATTTTTATTAGGATAGATTTCAATTTTTGCTTTCTCGCACGGTAGGTGAGTAGCAGTATTTAGGTTAACATTCTTGATCAACTCACAAATAGAACTTTATTACAGGTTAGTGAACCGATATCGAATACATTCGGCCTGCCCTGTCTGAAGATTGCAGACGCTTCTCTTAATGGAGCGGAGAATAGTCTGCTCCGGAATGTTGGCAGAAAATCAGACCTGTCGCTCACCTTGGATGTATTCTTGAAAGATACAAGCTCGCCTATATTTACTAGGAGATTGTCAACAGAGTCATGGGATAGCTTCGGCATGAGTCTAAGAATTTTCCAATACGACGGAGGCCAAGGAATCGTCAAGCTAGATATACATAGTATGTTCGCTATTTCCTACTTTTGACTGTCGTAGACTTGATTTTCAAGAGTTTAGATTCTCGCCTTCAATGTATAGGTAACAATATGGCATTCCAATACACAGTCTTAACTTCACGCTGAACTCAACAAAAAAAATGGTTAATATTTTCGTTCTGATCGACAGACGAAGGCGACACTGAAACAGACAACGGCACAGACCGGGTTTCAATCATTCCACCCGAGGTGATTGTTGGTGGTGAGGTATATGCATTGAGAAAGTGTTAGAATCAATTAATTATACAGGTATTGCAGGTATTGCTTCTATTTTTGACATCTCATCATCGTCTAATAGAAAGTGATCTTATTCGGAACCAAAGGCTTTCCAACAACCAGTTATATTCAAAGAAATTAACCACGAGCACTGAACAACCGTTTGCTACAGTACACCCAGAAGTCTGACGTTTGGTCGTACGGTCTCCTACTCTGGGATATACTGACTGATGGCCAAACGAATGTTGTGACGGCAGGTGGTGAGTATCTAATAGGTTCATTGGCTTAATCATCCAGCTCCGGTTTGTGTTCAAACTCATAGTGATGCTACCTAAGGCTTTATAGTTATACAACCAATGGATCACAATGTCATTTCGTACTCACACTACTACTTTTTTTCAGAGCCACTCGAATTGCAAAGTAATTTCGCCACTTTGCTGAAACTGCTGTGCAAATGCCTCAGTAGCGATCAAGAACTCCGGTCCGACTTTTTTAGGATCGCATCCAATACTGCTTTTGAATACCTTGCCGTTTCCGATGAGCCGATATTGAAATATGTATGTCAACCGTTATACATCAATATATATATATATATATATATATATATACCCCTGGAGACTCCACGCGAGTAATGTCGTTACTAAAAACTTTCTACTTGTCTCACACCTTGCTGCTTCCTTACTCAGGATTTGCATAACCAAGTGCATTTGCAACGGGATAAGGCGTACATACCCCGATCGTTGATGAAGATCTCTGCAAAGGCATGCGCAGCAGAGATGACAGTAAGACCTCCTTCAATAGTAGTACTAAATTCGAGCACACGCGACCACAGTGGCGATATACCCATTGTTATAAGCCCGGACAACAAGCAAAGCGAGCAGGATTATATGGAGCACAAGAAAGGTGAGATTTATATTCATTTCCGAACAGCTTAGATGTTGTATGTATGTAGGAATTGTGAATGCAGTATTGACAAAACTCATTTTCCTTTCGCGTAATCAGGTAGATCCGGTAGAGGTCAGCGACCATGCCTCTCTCGACGTAGCAGATACATATTGCTTGGAGGTTTTGCATTGACTGTATGCTTGGTGATCGTTGCGACGGCAGTCGCGCTCATTGTGCAACCAGTATGTCGAATTCTGCAATTGTTTACTTTGTTATACTGGTATTGTGTATATGCAAACATGCATGCTATACATATTGCGCGCGCGTCCATGATCGATATCGAAACCTATACATACTGCATGTACAATTTTATGATAGTATCCCAGCTTGTTACAATACGGGGATGTCAATAGACTAGGGCACTCACATACGTAGGCACCGATATATACACAAACAGGAGAAATCCATATCGACCTCGGCACAAAGTAGCGGCAATACGTCCGAAGCCATCCAGTTTGAGATGTCTAGCACCAGCTCTATCGGTTGGGATCCACCTGCAACGGTTTTATCATCACTACCCATTCCAACCGAGACAATCCCACCCGATTTTGCGAAAACTTTCACTATAAGGACATTAAATGAGAGTGTATTTGACGTTGATCTGAGAAATGCGGCCTGCTTCAATGGCGTGCAATTCGATAGTTGTGACGAATCGGCAAGCGTACCTTTCAGATGGGTGGACTTCAACTTGCTAGCTCCGAATACAGCACCAACACGCTGTATCACGCAGCAAAATTATAACAGCGCCGGATGCCTTGACGAGCGACAAACTACAGATTGTAATAGCTATGTCGGTAAGTGCTTAGTGTTGCGAGATTGTAATAGCTATGTCGGTAAGTGCTTAGTGTTGCGGCTTAAATCCGCTTTGTGCTGTGCAGTATGCATTATGAAAATCAATGACAAACCCGCTGAACGTTATACAATATTCCTACGCGAATGATGTTGTTAGATGTTAATATTATTTTGCCGATCATGGTATTGTGATAAATAGGCTATGTCGATAGCAGAATTGCTCATTTTTTTTGGGTAAAAGGCGACCAATTAAGGGGCACATAAAATATGCTGCCAGTTCCCTTCTATACCTTTGTTGTGTTTAAAATTTGTTTGCATTTGTATTTATGCGCCTCATAAGTGATAATTCTTTATGCATATGTCCAAAGATGGAATATAAAACGGTTGGACAGAGATACACGGTATATCACATCTATTGTGACGCTAATCCATTCGCAATAATATATTGTCAAATAGGTACGACACCTGAAGGTGTCGGCTTTGGCTGTGATGATGCACGTGAAAGATTCATTGTACAGAAAATGGAGGATACATCCGATTCGGCGGGAGTGCGATTGTTCGATGATGTCAGCGAACAGTGTGTGGTGTATACGACAGGATTAGGAATAGGATTAGATCTAGGCGATTGTTCTTCATCTTCAGTGGCTACATTGGTCCTTGATAGCTTCTGAGTATGCTGCCGCGGTCTGGCTAAACACGCAAACGATCGACATACGAATTTTGAACCTTCCTCATAAACCTAAAGACTGGATACCTTTGAAGGTCGACTATAACCATTCACCTCTCATACCAAATTTCCAACTACCGGCACAATAAAAATAATTTAAAAAAAAATATTGTAAATATGTAAAATACCGGTTTCCCACTTTTTCAAAAACAAATAATATTTACATGACCCTCGGGAGAAAGGGACTTTCTGTCTTTCAGTTTCTCAGCAGTGGCACTCAGCACTTGCCACTCAGCAGGGAGTCCAGGGACTTGATTCCTTGATTTTTTTTCATTTTCTTCTCCCCTCCAGATTCTCAGACTCCCCCAGAGAACTCAAAGAGACTCCAGAGAGAGTCCAGACTACTCACTACAGAGGGTCATGAATATGAATGAATAATGATGAATCAATAAATTTGCAGCGCTTTTCACCGCTCCTTCCTGAGAAATTGAGAATCTCCTGGGTTGGCATCCGACAAAGACGTACACCTCTGAAAAAATGTCTCCACGACACGTAGTGCGTGTCGTTTGGTGTTGCAAGTTGCGACAGTCTGCCTCGGGTCTGGGTCAACACTAGGTCTGTCGCCGACACCCGACGCCGATCGACATATCTGACAAAATGTCGTGCCGACACGTCTGATATGACTTTTTGCCAAATGTCGGCGTCTTTTACCAGCCCAGAGAATCTCTGGACGTGCGATTGTATTGTTTTTGTTTTAAAAAATAATAATTATTTCAGGCGACTATGAAATGGCTATGAATATCAATTTATTTTATTTTAGAAACCCTAAACCCTAAAAAATTGATTCTAGAGGGAATGTCTTTATACGGCACTGGTGATAATAAAATTATTAACCACATCAGGCCCAGTTTCCTCCCAGTCTCATACATGCTTTTTCGAGTTTAATTTGCTTTTGAATATAGGTGTATTAATGTAATTAGCGTGATTTGAAGCATTTGTGAGATTTACTTGTTTTCTGCCGGTTTGTTTGTTATCTGTCGACTGAAAGCGCTCGACTTAAAATGTTAGATATTGTAGCGCGGATACAACCCATTTGTTGCACTTATGCTAGGCCCTTGTCGGCCTTAAGGGCTTGACATATGTTAGCAGTTAGACACATGTATACAGGCGTCCTCCGTCTTAGCTATAGCTTTGGATTCGGCTATGGTTTTATAGTTGACACTATTCGTGTCTAACATACGTTGACCTCTCCTCTGAGGCCGACAAAAAATTATTACAAGTGCATTAAATGGGCTAAAATCACTCGCTAATTACATCTTAAAAAAGCAAAGTAAACTCGAAAAAGTATTGAGACTGGTAGGAAACTGGGCGTAGAGATGGTTAATAATTTTGTTGTCACCAGTGCCGTATAAAGACATTCACTATTTTTTCAATTTTTTTTTCTTCACATTACAAATATCTATGTATATTTATAATTTGTTTTCTATGAAAAAATATGTTAAAAATATTCAGCCAACTCTCTGGACTCTGAATCAATGATAATATTTGCTTTTAAAAATAGAAAAGACCAAAAAAATAATTTACTTCATCAGTAAATATTTGGTTGTTTTTAAAACAAAAACAGAATGCCTGTACAGTGTACGGTCACAGAGACACAGAACACTCACAGTGTATTT